GGGGGGGGGGGGGCGGAAGGCAGGCCCGATATGCGATCCGCCCACTCCGTCCGCCGGGGCGGGCGCGGTGACCCTTCGCGGCTGGCGCAATAATAAAGGGGGAACACATCGGCCACGCACGGGGGGCAGGGGGGCGGCAGCGCGGGGCGAGGAGCCACAGCCGCCGAGAAGCCCATAGGTCGAGCGACGGAAATACTTTCGGAGAGTCTGGAAGGTCGAGCCGCCACCTTGACGGAGCGCCCGCAGGGTGGCGGGGGGGGGGCCTTATTAACAGGGTGGTATCGGGGCCCAGAGCCCCCAAAAGAGGGGCCTTTTTTAATCCCCACATATATCACCTTCCCCGGTGTCCTCCGGCGTGCCTTCGGGGGGGGGGGGGGGGTCGGGGCGCGTGCGTTCGGGATCCGAACCCCGGGGTCGGGGCGCGTGCGTTCGGGATCCGAACCCCGGGGTCGGGGCGTTTGTGGGAAATGCCCCCCGATCCAAAGGGGAAAGAGGCCCCTTTATTTCTCGCGAGCCCAGAGCAGCGGTTTTAGCGAGCACAGGTCACCCTCGTCCCGCCCCCCCCCCCCCGTGCCGCTTCGGAAGACAGCGAGGCCCAGCGGGGGGAGGGGTGACACCGAGGCCACCGGCTGCGGGAGCGAGGAGGGAAGATGTGTCGGCGTGTGCATGCGCGTGTGCGTGTGTCGCCTTGGGCCCCTTTTTCGTCCACTTCACTTTTCGAGGTGTTTTTTTTTGGCCGGCTGGCGTGCGTAGCTCCCGGCCCCTCTTTGGCTGCCCATGTCGGCGCGCGTGTTTGTCTCTTCGACGCCGCTCCTCAAGCCGGTTCTTCCCATGGCGCGTCTGTTCCGGGGTTGCCCGCCCGTCTTGGCCTCTCGTCCCGAGCCGCGCGACCCGCTCGGAGAGCGAGCCTGGCAAGCAGCCGAGGGGCGGGTGCTCATTCCTGGCCGCCGGCATTTTTCCCCCCGGCACGCAGGCCTGTTGGAAGCGCGCATGCTCGCGCATGCCCAATTACCGACCGCGCGCCGCGCTTGACGGCTTTCCGCACCTGCCCCGGGGTGCGATGGGGACAACACCCACAGAAGGGCGGGGCGGGCGGAGTCTCTCCTCACAAAGGCCCGGCCGCCGGGGACACATGAGAGCCGCCGGGCGTCAGCCCCGAGCACTGCTCCTCCCCCCACACCACGGGGGCGGGGGGGGCGGGGGGAGCACATACCCGGGGTCTTTGGCGGGACAGGCGTGGCAGCCGGCAAACAGGGTAAGTTGGACATCTTGCTCCCTTGTCTCTCCCCCCTCCCCCGGGGGGAGGGGGGGGGGGGAACGGCGGGGTACAGGGCGCCCGCCCCAGTTTCGCACTCCCACCCATCCATCCAGGCGCCCGAGCATCAGGGGGGGGGGGGTCTCCGGGGCGTCGGCCGTGCCAGCCGACAAGGAGAGACCCAGGGTAGGAGGGGGATATTTAAGTGTTTATTGCGTGGGACTGATTCAACATCGTCGGTCCCCCTTTTTCAATCTTCTCACCATCGCCCACCGCGCGAAGCACCTGCTGCAAACACCAGCACGCCTCCCGCCGCCCGCCCCCCCCCTCTCTCTCTCCCCGTCGCCTCGTTGCGTCACCCTCTCACCCTCCCCCTGTGTGCTCTCCGGTCGACCGAAGGCACCAACCACCCAGCAGTAGCCCCGGCCTTCGCTCCCTGTCGTTGCCGCCTCTCCCTCTCTCCCTCTCTCCCTCTCTCTCTCTCTCTCCTCCCCCCCCGAGAGCGAGATATCATCTGCGTACGACATCGCCGCCCAATCCATTCTCCTCCGCTGCGCACATCCTCTCGCCTCCCCTCTTCCCCGCCCCTCCCCCTCCCCCTCCTTCAGCACGCTGCCCGGGCTTCTTCTCACTCTTCGCGCCCATGCTCTCCTCTCTGGATACACGACGATTGCGATTGTGTCACAGCTGCGCGCTGTAGCCTCCTCCGCTCGCCCCGCTTCCCCCCCCCCCCCCCCCCCCTGCTCACCCACGCTCAGTCGCCCTTCGAGCGTCGAGCCCTCCATCGACGCCGCCTCTCGCGCACCACCCTGTCTCTCTCCTTCCTCGAGAGCCCCCTCCCTTCTCTCCACCCAACCAGCCCTTCTTGCCCCTCCGAGTTCGAGCACCTCGACTCGGTTGTGATTGCTCTCTCCGCGCAGGACGCCGCCCCGTGCCTCCTGCCTCTTCCCGAGCCCGCCCTGAGCTCCCCCTCCTCCGCCGGTTCCCTCCTCTCCTCCCTGTTCCCCGCCGCCGAGACCACCGACACCACGCTCGGTCTCTGCGCCTTCCCTTCTTCGACCGCTACCACCCCCTTCCTCTCGCCATGCAGCACCCCTGCAATGCTCGAATCGCCCGTGCCAACCCCGGCACCGCTTTGCCATTCGGCTCCCCTGATGGCAACCGGCACTTTGAACTCGCCGCCGGATCGGCGTACCGTTCCTCCCGCATGGTCATCCCGAGGAGCGGAGCGCGCCTGCCTACCCGCATCAACGGACCCGCCGGATCCTGCTTTGATAGTGCATGCACCCTCGCCTCCTCCGATACCGCCGCTCTCGCTCTCTGGCGCCGTCGCCGCTCCCCTGTCTCCTCCGCCGTTGGCGGCCGTCGCTCCGGTGCCCCCTCTGCCACCTTCTGCTTCGGCGCCCTGGCCGCTTCGACTCTTGATTGACAACGACGAGGTCCCGCCATTGCCGCCTCCATCTCTTGATGGTTCTCTCCCCACCGGCAATTCCACCACCTTCTTCGATGACAGTATCCCGATCCACCGCTCTCCCCTCCACACCGCCATCCCCCCCCTCCCCGCCGACGAGGAGGGTGCTGATGATGCTGCCGGCAGCCATGGTGCTGGTGAGGGTGCTGGTGGCCCCCCGCTGCTCCTGAGCTCGTCGCTGCCTTCCATGGCATTCTACGACTACCAGCGGCCCGACCACTCGGCCTTCCATGCTGGCGAAGTGTTCCCCTACCACCTCCTCGAGGGCCAGAGCTTCGAGCACGCCCATCCCCATCACCAGACCCACGACCATGCTGATGGCCATGCGTTCCACCACCACCACCATCACCCCTCTCACCATCACCACCACACTGGCGGCGGCTACCATCACCCTCCGCAGCATGCCCTCCCGCCGTCGTCATCCTCCCAGCAGCCGCAGCCGCAGCCGCAGCCGCCTTTCCGCGCTCCCCACCTCGACCACGACCAGCCGAGCTTCCTGCAGGATTCCGACCTGCAACACATGGGTCTGCTTGGGAATGGCTCCGATGTCGGGTCGCACACGGCCTCCTCCTCGGCGTCTTCTTCCTCGCTGGCCGGCAGCCTTTCTCCGTTGTCCACCTCTGTCTGCTCCTCGTCGGCTTCCCCTTCGCCGCCGCAGGGCTACTTCCCCCATTCCCTCGCCAGCCAGCAGGGGCATCCCCATGTTTCTGGCCCGGGTATGGATGCTTTGTCTGCAGCCGTCGTTGGCCACAGCGACTCCTGCTGCCCTCCGGTGTCGATGACTTTCCCCCCGTCGTCGTATCATTCCCATCTTTCGGCGGTTGCCCCGATGCACTCGCAGTTCGATCACGTCTTCGCCGAATTGCATGATGCCTGGCACTCTGCCCATGATACTGGCGCCAGTGGCTACAGCAGCGATGCCTCGAGCAACGGCTCCCCCGGTGGGCACTTTGACCACCACCTCTCGTCGTCTCCGGTGCAGCCCCTCCAGCACCGGACCCTGGGTGATGGCGTTGCCCCTGTCGTTGGCGTTGCGCCGGTGACCGTTTCCCAGGCTGCTGGCGTTCCCCCCTCGCCCCAGTCCTCGGAGGAGTCTTCCCCGGTTCCGGCTGCCGCCGCTGTTGTTGCTTCTGCTGCTGCCCCCCCGGTGTCGACGGCTAGCCCCTCCTCGAGCCCGGCCCCGGCGCTCGCTCGTCGTGGTCGTCCGCCCGCCGCCACCCTGTCCAAGGCTGCCCTGCTGGTCGCCGCCGACACGGCTGGCTCTCGGGGGTCCTCGCCGGCTGTCGCGTCGCAGGCCCCCCTGTCCGAGGAGGAGCAGTACCAGCGCCGGCGCGAGGCCAACAACCTCTCCGCGCGCAAGTCCCGCCTTCGCCGCAAGCAGCGCGAGCTCAACACCAAGGCCGAGTCCGAGAAGCTGCAGGAGGTCAACTCCCAGTACCTGGACACCATCCGGGATCTGGAGCGCAAGGTGGCCCTTCAGGCCGAGCAGCTGTCCTTCTACAAGGCCCAGCTCGCTCGCTTCCAGGACTACATCCCCCTCCAGCACTCGGATGTCTGAATCGCCCGCCGTCATCAGCATCGTCGCCCCCATCGCTGTCGTTGCGCCCTGGCACCACCACCACCCTCCCCCGGGCCCACGACCCAGTAAGGTGGCTCTCCTCCTCCCCCCCCCCCATTGCATTGCCCCCTTTCCCCCCTTTCCTCCCTTCCGTGCAGTGCCCGCTGTTGAATGGCCTCGCGTTGGTCGCGATGGTGAGACCGTGAACGCATCGGGGCAGGGCCAGGGGGGGGAGGGGGAGGCGGGCGGGGCCCCGGCTGGGGCTCCTCCAATCCATTGGAGTTGCCCCCTTCGCCGCCCCTCCGCCCCCCCCCCCCCCCCCCCCCCCAAGGGAGGGGGAAGTGACTCGAGGTCGAGTCCCCGAGCGACTGGACAAAGCGAGAGATCGAACGGGAGGAGGGAGAGTGAGCGGCACAATCGGCGGGAAGTTGACCGTCCAGGAGGACCCGGAAGAGCCAGGAATTCGAGCATGCGGAGCAGCTCCGCGTCAGTCGTGCCGCCTCGGACGAGTCCCTGCGCGAGCTCCAGGCCGAGCTGCACACCCTGCGCAGCCAGCTGTCCCTGGTCCAGGGGCAGCTCCAGGCGGCCGTCACTTCGCGCGCTGCCGCCGAGGCGGTGACCGCCCAGTCGCGCGAGGCGCTGGCCCCCCCCCCCCCCCCCCCCCCCCCCCCCCCCCCCCCCCCCTGCCCCGTCTTCGGTCTCATCTCTCTCTCGCCGCCCGTGAGCGCTGTTCACACATAAATTTCTTCGTCCACGCCCTCGCTTCCCGAGGGCAAAGCCACTTTCAGTGCGGCCCCTTGCCTGCTTCCTCGGGCACGCACGCATCGTCTCGCGGTGTGACGATTGCGTGCGTGCACATGTCGGGGCCGCTTGTCGAGGTGAGCCCACAAAGTGTTTCCCCGGCTGTGGCAATGCTGTGTCCACAAAAAACCCCATGTTGTGCCTTCTTTCTGGGGGGCACATTCGCGCACGCGTGCTGCTTCTCCTCCCCCCCTCCGGGTGAGCGCGCGCGCCTGCCACACCTTTTGTGTGCCACACATCGCCATCGCCGCCGCTTATGTGGTCGCTGATACCCCTCCTCCAACCCATTCCGAGTGTCTCTCTTCCTCCCCCTCCTCCGCGCCCGTTCCACCCTCTCTGTGTACGTGGAAAAGGAAGCGGGGGGGCCCCCATGGGGAGAGACACATCGATGAGCCATATATCTCCCCCAGCGCGTGCCGGTGGTGTGGTGTCCCTGGGGCCTACGCAACCAGCCACCCCACCCCCCCACCCCCTGGGAGAGAGGCGGACAAAAGTGTGTTTTGTGTTTTTTTTTTTCAGGCCCCCCTCCCCAACGCGCAGCTCTGTGTGTGGGGCCCGGCCTTTTTTGTCTTTCCCCCAAATACATTGTCTCCTTCCAAAAGAAAGCGCCCCTCTTGTTGCTCTTCCTGCGCTTTCGACATCCCTCTCGCTGTGTGGGTTCATCGCTCGCCCTTCTCTCTCTCTCTCTCTCCCCTTTTCCCTCTCTCCCCCTCTGTCTGCTCCCATACCTCACCCTTTCTTTCACATAAACAGATACATCTCACTCACTTTCCTCCGCTGAGACATCCTGCGGTCTCGTGAATATGGCCCCCGGATGCCTGGCAATGTGGCGTCGGCCAGGGGTCGAGAGGAGAAGCGGGAGAAGACGCACCGAGAATGTGCGCCCGCTGAGTGATCACTTCCGTGCGTGTATTTACAAAACACTTGGCAGCCATGGGGGAGAAGGGGAGGAGGGGGGCGGCTGCATACACAGACCCCCCCTCTGACCATCCTCCCGCAGGGGTCTCAGCTTCTGGGCCGTTTTTACCTTCTCCCACAAACACTGAGACATGGGGATGCACACATGGCGCTCCCCGAGGGATGGGTGCCCCCCGAAATGTCACCTGCTTGGCCTTCTTGCCTGTCTTATCCAATCTCCCTGTCGGAGAACTATGGCGGCGATGGCGATGATGCCGAATAGGAGGGAGGAGGCAGGGGGGGAGGGGGAGTAGGCAGAAAGTATGGCATGGATCGCGCGTCCCGGCGCTTCTTATCCCGCCTTCCTACGAGATCTTCCGACCCTCCCCATCCGCCTCTCTCTCTCTCTCTCTCTCTCTCTCTCTCTCTCTCTCTCTCTTTCTCGCGCGCGCGCTTGCTCGCTCGCTCGCTTTTCCTTTCACTGCTCTCACCATGGCATGATTCATCCTTCCATTCGCCGGCCCTCATCCATCCACGGATTCGCATGGATACATCCCATGTTACAGGTTCTCCTCGAAGAAGTCGGCCACCGTCAGAGCGACATCACGCTCGACCTCCACCGAGTCGAGCCCATGGCCGGCGGGATATTCGCGAAGTCTACATGCCGGGGTGTGTGTGTGTGTGTGTTTGTGTTTGTCAAGTGTTAGTTCCATGGAGCGGAGGCGGCAACCACCCTGAAAAAAGGATGACGGGAAGGAGAGGAAAGACAAATGACAAAAGGCAAAAGCCCTCCCTCCGCCCTCCCTCCGCCCTCCCCCCCCTGGAGCAATGCCTCCAAGCGCACCGACTGTGGACGCCCTTCGACCGGAGGAAGCGATAGAGAGCACGGCCCTGCGAGGGCGGCACGCGAAGATCATCGAGGCCAAGCATGACCATGGTCGGCGAACGAATGTCTGCAGAAAGAAAGGAAACACATGGCGGGCGTCAGCAAGGCAAAATGCCTGATCAAGCGAAGGCAGGGCCGGGGATGGAGAAGCAAGAGGCCAGCCCAGGCTCTGATGGGGATACATACTGTTGGCATGGCGAGCGGGAGACATCTCAAACTGCTTCTGGATGCTGCTGGCATCCCAGAAGGCCGAGTCGAAGGACGTCTGTGTCTCGAGGAAGCACCAATCTGGAATGTCGGTCACAACGGACATGGCTTTGTTGCAGAGAAAGGCACGAGGATGCAATCCAAGGTGCGATGACGGACCGCCAGCACCGGGAGACGAGTTGCGTGTCAGCCTTTGGGGAGGTGGCCTGTTTGGAGGCGGATGAAAAAAAGCGGGGAGGAGAAAGAAAGAAAGAAGAAAACATCCCTCCCCCCTCCGGCGGTTTTGTGAAAGCCACCCCGTACCAGGGATATCGATGACCGGGTTCCGAAGGACCGCCGCGCGGTAATGCCCCGGCTGCTGACCCATCAGATGGGCTCCCAGGAAGCCACCGTGCGAGCCGCCGAAAATGCCGACACGCGTGCGGTCCAGCCAGGGGAAAAGCAACAATGTCTGCTTGACACACAGGTGGACATCATCGACATCGCGACGTCCAACATGCCCGCGAAGGGCATGCACGAAGGACATCGTCCGGCCCAGGGAGCCGGTGTAGTTAACCAACAGAACGGCATGGCCAGCAGACACCAGGGTGGCCACCGTCGGGGAAAAAGTGCTCAGGCTGACCGAGTGCGGGCCACCGTGCGGCGACACGACCAGCGGAACCGAAGCCGGGGTGTGAATGGGCTCGGCCGGGGGCTTTCCGGTGCAATCACTGCGGTGCCCGTGCGACTGGTGGTGGTGGTGGTGGTGGTGGTGGTGGTGGTGGTGCTGCTGCTGCTGCTGCTGCGAGGTGGTGGATCCCCGTCCGGGAAGAGAAGAGACACTCCCTCGACCGAGCGGACCGGCGGCGGAGTCGACCTCATCACGGCAGACATCCAGCCGGCGCTCACAGTGGTCGCAGAACTTCTCCGGCGACAGCGGCATCACCAACAGACACTCGATCTCCGAGGTTTTCAGTTGGCGATAGCGCCGGCGCCCGGCGGCGTCCGGGGTTCGCAGCTGAGGCGGCGACAAAGCCTGAACATCATTCTCGCTCATGGGCTGGCCATGTGCATCCAGGCGCGACAGATCCGAGGGGATCCGGTGGATCAGCAGCGACGACCCGATGTCCGGCGCGGTTTGGCCCACAAAGAGGCAGGCTCCCGAGTGCGCCGGCTCGCAGTAGGTCAGATAGTGTGCCGGGAGCAGGTCGGCTGCCAGCTGGTCGGCCGACTCCTCCTCCTCGTCGTCGATGTCACCCAGAGGCGTGGACACCCCGCCCGGGGTGGAGGCGGTGGCCGCGGCCGAGCCCGAGTCCAGCCGCTCCCCCGGGGCCGCATCGAATGGATGATACCGCACGGCATCCAGCAAGTTGGCCGACAGTTGGTCCATGCGCCAGAGGTTTTGCGTGGAAATTTGCGCATCCAGCGGCATGTCCGCCGTGTGGAAGAGCGCCAAGTACTCGAAAATCCGGGGGACCACCACGAGCGAGCCGCTGTGCGCCGGGGAGGACCACGTCAGGAAGGCATCCCCCGAGGCCGGATCCACATGGAGCAGGGTGAAGCAGCCAATTTGCGTCGGATCATGAGTGAGGATCTTGGATGAGGGGAGGTTTTGAGGCTGACCCAGCTTCAATGGGGTCAGCCCCACCCGGCGCATGAGCATCATGCTCAGGGCATCGGCATTGACCACCTTGACGCGCGTGGCCCGGAAGAGGCTGCCATCCGCCCGGCCGCCGGCCACTGCGGCGGCCGCTCCCTCCGAGGCAGTCAGCGAGCCGGGATGTGGCGGCAGGGAGAAGATCAGCAGCATGCGCGAGAAGCCCTGATCCGTGCTCAGGAGGATTTTCCGCGAGTCCGGCGACCAGCAGGACCCCTCCGGCCCGGAGCCCAGGGACTCGGTGAACAGGAAGAAGGGGCATGCGCGGTAGGCCGCACGCGGGGCCACCGGAGCCCGGGCATTGGTTGGCGTGGCGGTGCCGGCCGAGGAGCGGCCATCCGCCAGGCCGGTCTCCATCACAATGTCATCCCAAATGTACAGGGCCGAGGTGGATCCATGGGGGGCGGAGGGCTCCGTCCCGAGGAAGGCCACCCGCTGGCGACAGGGGCTGGCCACCAGCGACCGGTAGCTGAAGGCCTCGCCGGAGACCGGCACCGGCAGGTGGCTGACCAATAGCTGGGGGTTGGTGGAGCTCAAGCGAACCAGCTCGCCGGCTGCGCCGGCCGCCAGCTGGTCCGCTTGCCATGCGGTGTCCGGCTGCACGGTCACCAGGTGCAGGGCGGCCTCACGGTTGAGGCAGTGCTTGATCCCCAGAGACCAGGCATCCCGGGAGATGGTCGAGCAAAGGAGCCGCACGCGTCCCGTTCCGGAGCCAGGCTGCGACTCGCCGTGCTGCAGGTGGCCGCCGCCATTCTGACCGTCCAGCAGACAGAGCCCGGTCGGCAGCAGCGAGGGGCTCAGCGAATCCAGCACGGTCACCTCGAGCATCGGGCGCAGATAGTAGGCAGGCACCCCGGAGTCGGCCATGTGGCCAAGGTGCGGGCGATCGCACAGGTCCGCGGAGCTCGAAGGCAGGGCATCCATGTCGGAAGTCCCGGCCGAGGGGGGCGCCAGCAGCCGGCACAGCACAATCACCGGCAGGCCCAGCTGATTGAATCCCTCGCCCCAAGTGGGCTGGTGCTCGTACTTGACCTCGGGGGCCGAGGCCGCCACAGCGGCGGAGCCCATGGGAGCCGAGTTGGTGGGGGGATTGGCCGAGGGCTTGGCATCGGTCGGGCGGGTCCCGGCCACCGGGGTACCGGTGTTGGAGGGAGTGGCCGAGGTGGTGGCCGATTGGGCGGTCGACCGGGGGGCAGGCGTGCGTGTGCGATCGGCCATGACCGGCTGCGGGGTGCTCTGCTTGGCCTGGGCCAGCTCCGGGGCCAGCTCCGCGATGAAGCAGACCTCCGACTCGGAGGCCGACCAGGAGATGCATCCACCAAAGAGAGCTGTGGCCGTGCGAGTGTACGTGCGTGTGTCAGTGGTCCATGCTGGCAGGGGACGACGTCGCATCGGCGAAGAGGCGCTGGGGCGGGGGGGGGGGGGGGGGGGGAGAAAGAGAGAGAGAGAGAGAGAGAGCGTGTGGCGAGGTGGTGCCAAAAAAGGGCGGAAAAGGAGAAGCGGCTCAAAAGTCAGCCAAGCCGGGCGCACAATCGGTGTACACCTCCGAAATCTGGGTCCGCGGGACGCATGCCTGAGCCAACATATGCGTGCCCTCATGGATCTGGGGTTGATGGGGGGAAGGTCGAGAAAGAAAAGGACACACAGAAGTATACCCACCTTTGTTAATGAGGAGAAAGACACACGGATCGATACACACGGATACAAACACACGGATACAAACACACACAAAAAGAAAAGAAGGGGAAATCATGCACTGTACCTCCACATGGAAAGCCTTCCCATCGTCAGCCTTGCGGATTTGCAGACGGCGCCGACGCGAGGGGGACCAGCACACGCGAACGAGGTCGCCCAGGTCGCTGGTGCTCACCAGCTGCATGGAAACACTCTCCTGGTCCGGGGAGACATTGTGAATGTCGGCCCCGGGGGCGGGCCCGGCCGAGGGGCGCACGCCGGCCGTGAATGTCAGCAACTGGGACACCTTCTTCTGGGTGAAGGGATTACGACGGGTGGCCACCACGCTGACCGTGGCCTGGCCCGAAAGAACGCCGGTGGGTGGATTGGCCGACGCCATGGCCGCGCCAGCTGGCCCAGCAGGCACACCGCCACTGATGGCCAGCCGACCAAGAGCAGCTCCAAGGGCCGAGCCAGATTCGCGTGTGCCAAGTCCCGTCACGGCCACCTGGGTGAAGGACAAGGCATCGGTGTGCGCGGAGAACGCCTGCCAAGCGGGCACCTGGGCGTCGGAGGCATGGCGGGGGATGCTGCAGGGATGCCCCTTGAGGTTGGACACCTCGGCGGGGAAGGATGTGCCAGCACCCATGATGGATATCTGGTAGAGGCAGTGCCGGTGGTGGTGGTGGTGGCGGTATTTCAGGGACGGGAGGTGTTAGTGCCCTGTGTCAAAGAGAGGCAAGAGTCGCGCAGGGTGTGAAATACATTTTATCGGCGTGGAAAGCGTGCCGAAGTGAGGGGAACTAGATCGTGAAGCAGGCGGGGAGAAGCGGGGCGAGGGGAGGGGGGGAGGGGGAGGGTGGCTGTCGGTTGGTTGCTCGAGCCACCAAGACTTGGGGCCCAAATACCCCCCCCCCCCCCCCCCCCCCCCTCCACCCCTCCTCAGGCTATTTGGCGACAACCAGGACAGCCGGCCGTCAATCTCAAGCGTCGAGCAAGAAGCAGCTTCGATGGGCCTGCCCCTCCGGCGAGCACTCCCGACGAGGTTCTCCCCCTGAGATGGGGGGGGGGGGGCCTTGGTCGGGGAGACCTGCCAGTCGGTGGGGATCACCCCACAACCGATCGAGGCCGATTGACGGATGAGAAAAAAAAAGGATGTCGGGATCAGTGATTAAGAAGGGCAAAGGTGGAAAATGCCCCTCCCCCACGGCCGCCCGTCCCCCCGCCGGCTCCCGGGAGATCGTGCGAAGGCTGTGTAGGCGCGCGCGGAAAGAGGCGCGGCCAAGGGCGCCGCCAATCCCCCCTGCTCCTGCAAGTGCACCCAGGAACAGGGCGATCGGCCTGCCCACCGCTGTCCAGGCATGCGGCCACGTCGAATCCTGACAGGTCCGCCAGGCAGATCAGGCGCTCGGGTCACACGATGTCAGATCACATGAAAGCGCTGGCCATTTGAGAACAACCGCCCCCGTCCCCGATTGCATCCCGATCCCCATCCCGATCTCCCTCGCCTGTTTTTTCTCGCGTTGGCTTGTCCTCTCCCTTCTGTGCCACGCCTCGCCCCCCCTCCCCCCCGATCGCCTTCTGGCTCCCTCTATCATAGCATCCACATGTCCTCCATCCCGACGGACACTGCCTTGGCTGACATTCGCCTTAGAGCGTGTCGCCTCACCGAGCGCATACTCTCCTGCCCAGTGGGCATCCCACTGGCTCGGACCGCCGCCTTCCCGGCGCCACTGACAACCGGCACCACCACTGCCTTCGACGCTGCGTCGCTGGCCAGACCCGCCGGGATGCCCGGGCATCCCGGTACCTCCCTGTCGGCGGAGTCCACGGCTCTTCACCACTATGCTGATGCTTCGGAGGCGGTGTTGATCTACTCGGCCGATGAGCACGCGGCCCTTGTGTCGCGGATACGGGATCTGCGCATCGCGGCCGAGGCGCGCCTGCGTGCAGCCGACGAATCGGTGCACATCCACCCAGATGATGTGGGACGCATTGAGATTCCCGGCGTGGGTTTGGTCAGCGTCGATCCGGGAACCGACGATCTGGATGTGTGGCGCGCGCGTGTCGAGGCCGCCAAGTCGCGTTATCTTTCGGCACTGGCTCTGCGCCATGCGGCTGATCAGCAGGCTTTAGCGTGCGTTCCCCTTGGCCGCATGCATGTGTGTGTCTGTGTGTGTGTGTGTGTGTGTGTGTGTGTGTGTGTGTGTGTGTGTGGGTGGGTGGATGTCAGTCATCTCGTGCCTTTGAGCCAGCGGATTGACACCCACAGCCTTTTCTCCTCTCCCTCTCACTGGCCCGTCTCCACCAATCCCGATGTCTCGGGGGTCACTCTCTGACACATGCAAACTTGACAACAAAAACACCGTCAACAACACTCGCAATGACGAAAATGTCTCCATATAATACAGACATTCTTATGGCCAGCTAGAGCGCACGCACCCCAGGCTGTCCGTTGTCGCGGCCTACACTCGCCAGTGGGAGGCCGCTTGCCAGCAACATGAGTCGCTTATTCAAAAGGTCCAGGAGCGCTTGGTATCTATCGAGCGTGAGGTCCTTGGTGCGTAGCATCTTTCCCATGCTCTTCCTCCTTTAGTTGAACCCTTCCCTCCCCCCCTCGAATCGTCACATTAATGCAGGGCTTCATCCGGTTCATTCAGGCTTGCAGCTGGCATACAATAAAAAGGTCAAATTTGCCGCTGAACTTGAGCGGCAGAATTTCCTCCGGCGTCTGGAGCGCTCCTCATCTGCCCAGACGGCTACCAGGGATGGTGAGCAAATGCCGCGGTCCGACACGGGCAACAGTCAAGCGAGGTATGTATTTGATATCCTGCCCTATCTGGGTACAACCTCCGGGACCCAGCGAACTAACAGCACACACACACACACACACACACACACACACACGCAATATATCTGGTCTTCAGTAGTGCGGGCTTGCAGAAGCGACTGGCTTCGAATGCCATCCTCCGGAATGTCCTCCAGGTACGCCTTCATGCCCCATCCGGATTTCACTGCGACACTCCTGAGCTGGAGTCTGCGCAGGGTATTTTCTTGAGGATATCCTCATCTCACCTGGTGTTTGACTTCCCTCCCAACCGCAGCTCCTTGTTCTGGAGTCCGGAGTCGACTGGATGGCGCCCGAGGCGGACGAGGAGTTCCGGCGAACAGTCCTATCCCTGGACGCGGTCCCCGCCGGGTTGCCATTCGACGGTCAACTGGCTGACTGGTAAACCGTCCCGCTCATCCCCCGGCCGCTTGCCTCCCCCCCTCCCCCCCAGGTTGCATAGCACCTGTCCTTGACTTTGTACTTTGATCTCTCCTTTCGTCCTCGTCCCGTCCCCCCCCCCCCCCGGAGAGTGGCGTGTTGGCCCCGATAAAGACACCATGTGGTCGAATGCTATCTTTAATGATGTTGTATTTTCAGCTGAGTCACTTTCTTGGCACACAGCATTGCCACTTTGTCCCTGAATAGAGCGCAATGCACGCATCGCGAGCTGAAAGAGGCCTCTCTATGGGCGCGCATGTGCGAGGCCTCTCTCTTCTCGCACATTCCCATGCATGCGCGCATGCCAAGATGCGAGGCATCTCTCGAGACAATAGAGAGGGGAGGGGGGGGGGAAGCAGACTTACCCGAAGGCGTTCTCCTTGGAATAGACAACATAGAGTATCCCATCTTCGGGGTTGGCATAATCCTTGTAGATGTCGGCCAGGCGGGCGTTCATCGGGGCCGAAATAGCGAACGTGCTGCCCGGCCGACGGATGTACCAAAAGATGGCATCATTGGGTCCGATAGCGGAAGCTTGGTCGGTGGAGGTGGTGGATGTGGCGGAGGGCGCGGCAGTCGAGGCGGCAGTGGCGGCGGAGGAATCGGCAGTCGAGACAGTGACGCTGGCGCTCGACGAAGCCGAAGGGTTGGATGTGGACGTAATGGTGGAGACAAAATATGCCTCCTTGCTTTCATCGGCCAAGGTCGAGGAGGAGGCCGGGGGGTTGTTGGGTTTGGCCGGTTCCCGGATCATCGTGCTAAACCGAGAAAAGGAAGTCTGCCCGCTGATGATGTACTTGGATCTCGAGAAAAGAGGCCGGTCATCGGGGGAGGAGAAAATAAGACCCTTGTACCGCTCGACAATGACCGGCACATGGGAGGGGTGTTTTGATCGGACACTACTCACAAGCTTCTTGCGAGTTTCTGTTTCCAGGGTAGCGACACCGAGGGGAGGGGGCGAAGTCATGTCGTCAATAGATGCACAAAGGCCGAGTTTGCAGGGAGGATGGCCATCACAATTCCAACTAAAGAGCGAGAAGACACATACCGAGGGATACAGACTTGATGAAGTCGCCCTCCATGGTTGCTTTGAGGACGGGGGGGGGGGGAGGATGGGGAGAGGAGACAAAGAAGAAGAGGAAGGAGGAGTAAGGAAAAGAAGAGAGTAGAGGGGGGCAGAATTCGGAGGGGCAAGATATTATTGCTTTGGAGAGGATGCCAAATGCATGGGCCTGTCAGGGTGGAGCCCTTTGAGATCTTCCCTCGGTCTGTGGTGGTATGGGCAGTGTGTTTCCCCGGCAAGATCGGCACAGCGCGACGATCGGCGCCCCTCCAACACTGAGAATGATCCGGCACCCGAGATGCCCGTGCCCACCCACACACACCCACACACACCCACACACACCCACACATCCCTACCAATACCCATACCGAGCACAGTGTCGAGATAAGCCATGAGCCCCTGCTGCTCTTACCCCGGATCCAATACGATTCCCCCCGCTCCGCTACTCACCGACCCACTCGCCCACTCACCTCCCGGCCCAGCGGACCGACTTCCCCGGACGCCAAGTGAACGATCTTCCGATCGCAACACATGTATCTTGCCAATTCCCTCCCGCTCGCTCTCTCCACATGTTGCTCTATGCACTCGGGGTGGATCCCCAGGTCAGCCACTCTCCCTCCACCGGGCGAGGAGCGTCATCTGAAAAGCACACACAATTACCCATGTTGTTGGGGCATCTTTTCAGGAGCTTGCATGTTAACACTTTCCCGGAGGCAATCGAGCCTCACAGTTCGGGCCTGATCGGGAAACTTCCTGCTTGAAGCACGATCGCAGCATGACCTCGAAGGGGCACCAACGCCTTGGCCTGTGTTCTCGCGCGCTCAAAAGAAGGGAAAGACCAACCGGAGCCGACCCCGCGGGGGAGACCCGGGACCGCGGAGGCTTGAGATGGAGCGGCATTTTTTGCTATCCTGAGGCGCGGAGGCCAGGCATGCCCCCCCCCCCCCCCCCCCCCCCCCCCTCCCTCCGCCGATCATCACCCAGCTTCCAGCAAAACTACCCCCCTCTCCGGCCCCGGGCGTTGTCGCCTCAAGCCCTATTCCCAAGTCAGAGGTCATGCTGTCGCTTGACTTTGTCCGCTCAGTCGCGAATATCACCGCACATTGCGCGACTCCCCCGAGGCGAGCCAGCCGTGGTGAGTCTTTCCGGTGGTCCGAGTCAAATGCCTTCCTCCTGCCTCTTCTGCCCCCCCCCCCCCCCCGATTCAGGAGACCTGGGGGTGAGCATGACCCCCGAGCCCCCTTGCTGACCTGTGGAGTGTATACCCCTCATGCCGGTAAGCATGTGCGTCCTCTCTTGCTTTGACTCTCTCTCTCTCCCTCTCCCGCTCCCCGTGTCTCGGACCCATTTCCCCAGAACATGAGAATGGGGAAATGCCAGCCCCCTCGCGCCGGAGGAAATTGACTACACACGCATTGGGATCTACCAAAAATGACAGGGACATTGCCGACCCCGCTGCGGCCTAGACAGGTGTATCGAGGCACGATCGGAGGATGAATGCCGCCTCGCCCTCGCACCCTGCATCCCCCACCCCCGGAACGTGACGTTGACCCTTCGTCACTCAGCCCTCCTGGGAGCCGACCCTAGAGGGACGTTTGGGCATGGCATACTGGAAACAATTAACCCTATCATGAGAATATCAGTTAATGGAGATCTGTAAATAGAAGAATAAATCAGAAACTTAAGCACCAGTGGGGTACTCTTGCTGGGCCCTGACTCCAGCCATCTCCGCCGCGCACTGCCTCATCACTCTCTCTCTCTCTCTCTCTCTCTCTCTCTCTCTCTCTCTCCCCCTCTCGCGCTCGCTCCCACCCTGCCTGTCCCCATGGCTGTCCCCCACTCCTTGATGCTAGCAATCAAAGGTATATTCTCTAAACAAATGCTCCCTCCTCCACACGGGGCAAAAAAAAGGAGGGCATATATGGACCGCGGGAAGGGGAGAGGAGGTCGAGGGAGCAGGAAATCATTGAAGTTGCAGGAGCATCCAGCACATGTGCTCGAAAGAGGCACACAAATTGACGAGGCTGGTGGCCCAGGCAAAAGGGGTGGAAAAAAGAGAGAAGGGAAGGAAGAGAGAGAGAGAGAGAGAGAGAAGGAGGCAAAGACAGAGGGAATGCATCTTAAAATGCCCGGGGCCGAAGGAACACTTAGGCACGCGAGGGGAGAACCTGGCGCACGTCGAAAGTACCATGGCGCTGGGCACCGGGAGTCCCGGCGGCCAGATGCTGAGCATTCTGGCGGTCGCCCAGGACAGCGGTGGCCACCGAGTCGGCCCCGGCATTTGCCACATACTGGCGGTAGACGTCGCGCAACTCCTCAGCCGACAAGTCGAAGATGGCCTGGCGCATCTCCTGCTGGATGGCCTCAGACACGAGGCCAGCCCCGCGGAAGAGATCCACCGCCCGGGCCGACGGGCTTTGCGGGCTGTCCAGCGACCCAAGCAGCGCCAGCTTGGCCGCACGCAGGTCACTCTCATCCCAGCCGGCATCGGGGCCGGTGTTCAGGAGCCAATCATGCGCCTGATCAAACACATTCAGAGTCTCCACCACATGGGGATCGAAGTAGGAAGTCATGACCAGGAGCCCACGCGAGGAGTCAAAGTAGGCGCCAGACCCATAGGCACCGCCCTTCTCCCGGATCTCACGGTGGAGGAACTGCCGCGAGAGCATCTGGCATGCCAGTGACAGAGCCACCGACTGGCGGACCGGCAGGTGTGCCCCACCGAAGAGGTCCACCGGCAGCGGGCCGGAAGTGTGTGGATCCAGCTGCTCCAGGGCCGCGACATCGGCGGCGCTGGCCGGAGCCAGGAACTGCCGGGTCTGGAACACCCGAGCACAGTGGTTGATCGGGAGTGGGTGCGCGAGGAAGACATTCCGCCGGCCGGGCTGACCGGCCGCGGTCTTGAGGTAATGATCGGTCTCTGCCCGGGTCAGCGCCGGAGGCAGGGTAGCCGCGCCGCTTGGAGCCACCACATTGCGGAAGACCCCGGTGGTGGTGGTTGCAAACCGTCCGAGAGCCGGAGCCACGGCATCCAGCGCCGCGGGCATGGTCTCGGGCGAGGCAGTCAGCAGAGCACGCATGGACTTCGCCCCGAGGGGGGTGTTGCTGCCATCAGCAGTCACCCCGGCGTCAGCCTTGACCAGACGGTCAATCTGCAGAAGGGTCTCAGCCAGGCGATCCATATCGGCCGATGGCTGGGACAAAACATCAAGCAGGGCCAATTGATCGCAACCGCCCATGGCCGCATACATGCCGAAGGAAACATCATCCAGCAGGGAGGCCGCGGCATTGGCGGCGATCGAGTGCCCAGAACGCGACAGCTGCTCATCGGTATCCGAGGCCAGCTGCTCCACCAGGTGGCGCAAGCGCTGGCGATCGGAGAAGTCCGTCTGCAGGCCGGTGTCCACCTTGAGGTCCATCATCTGGGGCACATTCCGGCTGAGGGCGAAGGTGCTTGAGGCGAGACCAAATTCGAAGACATTCCGCTCTGCGTGCGTGGTGCCCCGCGGAAGGAAGGAGCGGAAGGCGGCAAGTGGGGTGATTGGTTAGCTTGAGGACAAAGGACATCCACCATGTGGGGTAGGGTGGGGGATGGAATTCCCCCCCTCCCCCCTTCACACATATCCAGGACAGGCACGCACTTGCGGGGTGGTTCCGCAGGAACGGATTGAAGGACAGGCCGCCCGTGTAAAGGTCGATATCGTCGGACACCTGGCCGTAGCTACGCTTCTCGGTGCTCATAAAGGTGAGTGCCTGCGCATAAATCGGCAGGTAGGGGACCAAACCGGTCCGGTCGAGGGACTTGTGCAGCTCCGTCGCCGGGTCAGCCTTCTTGAAGGGAGCCAGCAGGGCTCGGGACGAGGCGGCCGGCTTGGACTTAAGGAAGGTCTCCGACGAGAGGGTTTGGATGGTGTTCAGATAGACCACGCCATTGGTTGGCTGGTGGGTGGTGAAAACCGGCACCCGGGCCTGGGTATCAGCCGGGCCATCAAAGCCGTAGAAGGTGTTCCGAGATGGCATATCCTCCAGCTGAATGTTCGGAAGGATCGAAATATCTGTTCGGAGACCGGCAGCAAAGAGAGAGATAGAGAGAGAGAGAGAGAGAGAGAGGGCGAGATAGGGCGAGAGAGCACAGGGGGAGGGGCCATTGTCAAGGAGGAAAGGAAGGGCAAGGGAGGGGATGATGTGTCAGCAAATTGCCCGAAGGGAAGGGAAACAAGGTCGCGCATTTCGTAGTACCCTGCTCGGACTCCTGGAGCTTCTTCAGCTTCAGGCCCTCCTCAAAGATACGACCCTTGTCCGAGGCCGACAATTGGAGCAGGCGCCCTTGCAGGAGCTCCATCTCGGCCTCGGCTTGACGCTGCTTCATGCCCACATCCGGCGACATGACCAGCGTCACGCGGCGGTTGTTCTCCAGAAGCTGCTTGCGCAGGAGCTTCAGCAGGTGGTCTGGGTCCTCCTGGAGAGCGGCACGCGGGCGGTCGCCATAGTTCTCAAACTGAAGGACCGTCAGCGGCGAAGCACCATGGATCCAGGGGTTGTTCAGGCCAAGGCCAAGGTTCAGGCCAAACTCGGTCGATTGCTGGGAAGTGGAGAGCAAGAGCAAGAGCGAGAGCGAGCGAGAGAGAGAGAGAGACAACAGGCGAGGAGGGGGGAAATGCCAGGAGGGTCAGCGACCAAGCACTAGGGTGACATATCTATCGGCACGAGATGCCTCCAATAGGAGGGGGGGGGGGGGAGGTAACGCACATGCTTGAGACTGAGCTCCATCTGGTGCATGACAGCCTCGATGCGCTCGGCCGGGAAGCCGGTCTTGCAAACGTCGCGCAGGGTATCGAAGATGATGCCCTCCACCTTGTCACATTCGGCACGAGTCTCCACCCCACGCACACCAATCGCAATGGCAGTCTCGCGCTGCTGAGAGGAGACCCCGACACCAGGAGCGAAGTCCGATCCGATGTCCGACTCGATGAGAGCTATTTCCCGTCGTGAGTGGGGATGTCAGATGCAGGCGGAAAGGGGGGAGGGCGGAAAGGGGAGGCAAAAGTAGTTAGGCAACACAGAACAGAGAAGCGCCCAGAGGGAGGGAAGGCGGGAGGGGGGGGGGAGGGGGGCTGCCATGCTGTCTGAAATGACAACATGTAAGGGGTGCGGCAGGCACGTACCCTTGTACATGGGGGAAGTCGGGCCCGAGGTAAGGAGGTCCGAAAGAACACGCATCTCGAAGGAAGCATAGCAATCCTAGGGGGAAGGGGGGGGGGGTGCGGGTGGCAAAAAAGAGGAGAAGCCAGAAGAGGCAAACGTTAGCATCGTGCGGGACTTCGGACCAGAAGCCGCAGCGTTGTGGGCTGCATCCGTGCGCGGGCACGCACCTCGATCGGGTTGGTGACAAAGGCCACACTGACGTAGTGGCCAGAGGAGTCGCTGTCGGAGGCTATGTGTTGGAATGGGGAGAACGAGAGGATGGGGATGATCAGCAAAGAGCCAGGCAGAAGCAGACACATCCGGCAGACACACAGCGTGACGTACGGTAGCCGACCTCAACCGTGCGGGGGGACGCGGTGGCCGGGTCGACAAACTCATTGCGAGTGGCTGGGTTTGCCGTCGAGGGGACATAATCCGCAGGGACCCGGTCAAACACCTCGGTCTGGATCTGCTGGAGGATACCCTCGAGCGGCAGGGCGCCTGGGGGAGGTGCCACAAGGGAGAGGGGGCATGTCAGCGGGGTCATTTTTGGAGGGGGAGAGGCAAGGGAGACGGCAAGGCATTCGAACGAGAAGAGAAGTGAGTGGAGGAGAAAGACAAAAAGGCCCAGGTGCACGGGCACATGCACTCACCATAGGTGTAGAAGCGGGCGTTCGAAGGCTGGTAGCACTTCTTGTGGAAGTCGACCAGCTGCTCGTGCGTCAGCTCCGGAATGACGGCCGGCTCACCACCGGAGTTGAACTCGTACGGGGTGCCGAGGAACAGCTGGCTGGACAGGTGCTGTTGGAAGAGAGTCGACACGTCGGACTGCGCACAGCACGGACAGCCAGGAGGAGGAGGAGGAGGAGGAGGAGGAGGAGGAGGAGGAGGAGGAGGAGCAGGGCCCAGGAGGGAGGGAGAAGACAGAAGTTAGCGGTGTGGCGCGGGGACCAAACGAAAGAAGTGGAGGGGAAGCGCAGAAAGCCACGCACCATGACACCCTTCATCTCGTTGAAAACGACACCCTTGAAGACGATGGGTGACTTCTCGTCTGGAAGAACGATGAGGAGGAGGGGGGAGCACGAGGAGAGAGAGGGAGAGGGAGAGGGAGGGAGAGAGTCAAAAAATGGCTGGATCTGAATGGAAGAGGGGAGGCTGTGGACACATACCCTCGACGGTGGCGTGCTCCAGACGCCAGCCTTCCTGACGGAAGTCATCCAGCGCCAGGCGAGGGAAGAAGGTCGAGTCCAGGTAAACCGACATCAGGTTCCGATAATCCTGGGGGTTGTGCGTGGAGAAGGGGTACATCGTGAGGTCGTTGTCTGTCGGCGGAGGCAAGAAGCAGCACGATGAGGGGGGAGAGAGAGAGAGAGAGAGACAGAGAGGAGCGTCAGTACACGGGAGGAAGGTGACGGGGAGTGACAGGCCAATGTCCGCGGTTCAGGGAGCGCACCGGTCATGGCGTTGATGAAGTTGGCCACCGAGCGGGTGAGCATCTTCATGAACGGATCGCGAACGGGGTACTTGGCCGAGCCGCAGAGGGTGACGTGCTCCAGGATGTGCGGCGTGCCGGAGCTGTCATAGGGCGGTGTCTTGAAGGCAACACTGCGAGTAAACAAATCCCCGAAGGCGAAGAGATGAAGGAAGGTGTCGAGCAGGCGTTAGCGAGGGGGAGCCCGTGTTGCATGCAAACGAAGGACAGGGACTTGGAGAGGCGGGGCAAGGGCGCACGAGAAGCTGTTGTTCGGGTCGTCACGCGCGATGTGAACATGCTCGGCACCGGTGGCAACATGACGCAAGTGGACGGCCGCGGCGTCGAAAGCCGGCAGACGGACTGCCCCCTCCACGCGGAAGGCCCCATTCAGCAGGTGGGCCCCGGGAGTCAGGGTGGCCACACGCTCCACGGGCTCGGGCTGGTCGACGGCGATCGCAGGCTCGGCCATGACGGCGGCCATCTTGGCCGCGGTCTCGGAGAATGCACGCGTCGCGGACAGGGCCGGCCGGAAGGCCGCCGATCGGCCAAGCTGGGCAGCGGCCAGCCCGCCGGAGGAAGCCAAACGAGAGGCAGCCTTAAACATGGCTGGGAGGTGAGGGAGGGGGGGGTGCGTGGAAAAGAGGAGGGTGTGGGAGGGTCTTGTCCGCCGGGGAGAAGATCGACCACAGTAATCGGTGGGAAAGGGGGCGAGGAGGAGAGAGGTGAGATAGGACCCATCTGGCTGAGGGGTGGTTGGGTTTGAGGCTGAAGAGTCTGGCCCGGAGGAGCTGGAGAGGGGGGGGGGGGACGGGGGCCAGACGGGCAGGCCGAGGAACACACGGCCCCTCCTCTCCCCCTTCCCAGAGAGCTCGATCGCCCCTCCGGGGGAGGGGGACCATTCAGACAATGATCAACTTTCGCCCGGGACGAGGGGGAACAGCCTCCGGCCTCGGGCCGCCACCCCCTTCCGCCCCCTGATGCGGCCCCGATCAGGCCACCGCGTGGCGAGGAGAGGACCACGGCGGACACTTGCACGAATCCGGTAGACACCAGGAAGACCGGCGCCCGCGGCAGCACAGCAGATGCCCCTCGAAGGGCGGGTCAGCTGGAGTCCACGCGTCCTGATGACTAACTCAAGCAGCCGCCGAAGGTGGGGGCAGGCAAGCGAGGGCAGGCGGTAACCGGAGGACAGGACCATAACTGGCGAACCGCGAGCGCAAGATGCCCTCCCTGCCCGAGGAAAAAGGACAAAGGTTAGACGTCGAGGTTTCCGCATGGGTCGTCGTGGCTCCCCCCCCCCCCCCCCCATCCCCTGGTGCCGCCGGGGTGGCTTGGGTCAGCCTCTGAAACGTGGGCCGGCCCTCCGCCCGGACCCTCGCCGCCCGAGTGCGTCGGAACTTGGCAATCGGAGACAGGCGCATGGGGTGGCCTCGCGCGGGGATTCCCGGTCACGTGCGTCACGTTATTGCACGGTCTGGCTCAGTAGAACGGCCGTCTTGACACGGGCCACTTTCTTCGAGGGGGGGGGGGGCGGAGGGAGCTCGATTGCGCTCCCACCGGAGGAAGTTGGAGGGGTCTCGGGGAAATGACGGGGACCATGGCGAGGCGACCTCGGGCCTTGAGAACCAACAAAGAGCGGGGCGAGCCTCCGCAGCCTCTCGTTTGTTTGATCGATCAGGCGAGTGTGGGGGAGGCAGCGCAGAGCCAGGAGGAGGCCCTTGACACGGCATGTTTTCCGAACATGATTGCCTCTGCCCGTTGTAAACTGGCGGAAAGATTTCGGCAGGAAGGGCCGGATTTCTGCAACGGTGGCCGATCCTGTCCAATTGCCGCGCGGGAGGTCCTTGGGAGGGACTCACTCTTCGCCCGGGTGGCCGGCCAGCCGACCGGCCGGCCAGAGCCCTCGTCCGGGGAGCCACCCTCTGCCTGAACTCAAAAGAAGGATCGCCGCCCGGAACTTCGCCTCCGGCCACAACATGTCCCCCTCCTCCCCCCCCCCTCCCCGTGCTATTCCCCTCATACCCTCCCTATCTCTTTCCCAGCCCCTTCCCCTCTCCACAATTCGCCCAGCCTCGAGGGAGAGACATGATCTGTATTGACTGCCGCGTTGGTGGCGGGGCGGCCTGGTCCTGCGCGGTCTTTGAAGCCCATTGCCGGCCGGACGGCTTGATGCCCACACCTCCCGAGGACCCTGGGCCACCAACCGAGGAGGCCTCAAAGTCGGGCTCCTCAACCGGGCCTCTCGTCGAGCTGTCGACAGCCCTCCAACGGGTGCTGGATTGCTCATCGCGCTTGGCTGCCCTACGGCCAGGATCCCCGGCGATCCCCTGCTCTGGAGCCACGCCGCCGGCCTCCCTCTCATGTGAGTCGATTTTGCCCCCGGCCTCCGAGCATTCAGACTTGTCACTGCGGCCCATTGAATTGATCCCTGGCATTCGGTGCCGCGTGGAGCCATCCCCCAGCGAGCTGGGTGACACCTGGTATGATGCCGCACCCGGGGACGTCGGCAATCGAGACGGCGCCGATGGAGGTAGCCGTGGCAGCAGCAGCAGCAGCAGCAGCAGCAGCAGCAGCAGCAGCAGCAGCAACAGCAACAGCAACAGCAGCCAAAGCGTCGGCGGGACCCCGGCAACTGAAGCCCTGCCTGGTGTTGGAAGCCCGGATCCGGGCTCTCAAGTCGGAACCGGTGCGGGGCTCGTTTCGCCAAGTCTATCCCTGAGGTCCGTGGCCTCCCCCCAGCCGGTCGGGTCGCCAGCGACCGGGCCCTTCGCTCGGTTCTCCGATGACCGGGTCATTGTCGACGGAGAGTGTCCCGCGTCGCCCGGGGTTTCCACCCCCGGCTCGCCCTTTGTCGTGGTGTCTACCTCGCCTGGGGGCACGCCCGATTCCCAGGAAGCCGACCGCCCGCCGCCCATTTACATCTATCACGAGCGTCAATCCCTGCAGATGTGTGCGAAGGTGCGATTTTCATGCTTGAGCCTCTCTGCCGGGCCGTGTGACCCGAATCCCTTGAACTGACCACCATGCCGTCTCGATCACCACTGATGGTGCTGTTGGCGCCGATGTGAATCTTGCTGCTGTGGCCAATGTGGCTGCTTCTTTTTCGCCGCATCACAGCACACTATCAACAACTTTGTACGTCGCCCGACTGCGTTCCCTTCCCTTTTTGTGGCCACATCTCGCACACGCACGCGCACACACAAACTCACAAACTCACAAACTCACGCACGCACGCACGTGCCGTTTCCCTCGTCAGCTTCAGCGCCGGGAACACAGTCGCCGCTCATTGAATGAACTCAGCGACGAGCTCGCATCCAGCTTTGGAAGTCCGCTGCTCTCCTTCTTCGGAGGGATATTTAGCGGCCTGTCACATCCCCACCGGGGGATTCTGTACGTTCCCTCTCCTGACATATTGACCGCATGAGCTGGTGCCTGTGCTGGTGCCTGTGCCTGTGCTTGTTTGTATATTCCCTGACCAAGTATCGAGTCATCTTTGACATGACATGTGTCCTTTTTTCCACGTCCCCCTCACCTTGCCCTCCTCCTCGCCTCTCTTCCACTCGGCTTTCGCCCTCAGTGGCAACTACGATGCCAATGTCATCTCGGTGGCCCTCGCCCGGGCGGATTTCAACGTCACCTGGTACCGGTCGCCGGATCAGGGCCTAGGTGTAAACTCGACCGATCTGCTGCCCTCTAGCTTCCCCTGCACTGAGTGCCCGCCGCCTCCGGCGCCCGGATCCACCGACCAGGCGGACATATCGAATGATCCGCTGGCGCTAGCGGTGGCCGGCGGGGGGCGCCTCTGTGCACATCGGACCCGATCGACCTTCGGGCGGCATGTGCACCTCCGGCGCTTGGCTGGCCTGGTGGTCAATATTCCCGCCTCCCTCACGCTGGCGCCCCTGGAGGGGCTCGCATCCGGCCGCCGGCACTGGTTCGCCGTGCGGCGCATCGCGGCCACTGGCTGCACGATGCTCGCACGGCGACAAGCAGCCCTTACACGCCTGCAAGACGCGCTCCTGGGCGGTGCCACTGGATCCGACCGCCCTCCGGAGGGTAACATCACCCTTGCCGACTATTGCTGCACATCCTTCCCCATGGAGGAAGGAGGCGTCCCGGCCGGCGGCTGCCCCTGCCGGATTCCTGGTTGTGGGGACTTTTATTGCATCGACTCAAAGATGAATGTCCCCCGGCGTTTCGACTCGGCCGAGCAGGTGCGCCTGGTGCTCACATTTTTTTTCCGAGCGCGCGCACACACACATCCCTCCTGTCCCGCCCTCCCCCTCCTGACGCGTGAGATATTCCCTCGCCTCGCTGCTTTGTCTTTTCCTCCCTGTGTCCTCCTCCTCGGGCTATTTTTCCCCATCTGTTGGTGGCCCTGGAATCCAAGATGGCCCGGGCGGTCGATATCTGGCTCGAGCGGGGCGCACACATCCTGCTCGTGACTCCATGTGATGAGTGTGGATCACATGTGTATCGTTGAATAGTTCTCTGGCGTTGTGAAATCCCGGCAAAAAATAACTCTGTCTTTTTTCATCCCCGCCCCTTTCCGGAGGACAAGGGAGAGAAAGACCAACAGGGGAGGGGGGGTCCCCGGCAATGTGTGCGCGCCCTGTGGCTGTGCTTGAACGGAAGATCGTTTACACACATGTATGTGCGTGCGTGCATGCGTGCGTGCAGGGGACGTGAGGCGGAGGGGGGGAGGGGTTGAGCAGGAGGGGCAAACGGGCCAGGGCCGTGGAAGATGCGCCTGGCGTCTACATGCCCACGGACATCGCCCGTGGGGGAAATAAGGACCCGAAAAAGGCCCAGCACCGGTGCAAACATGGGATAAAATTGGGCAGTCCGCGGGCGAGGAGGGGGGCGAAGCACAGCCACACACACACACACACGCGCGCGCGCGCTCGCGAGAGGCACGGCATGTCGTGCTCCGCGGATGAACGCGCGGCGTCGTCATGCGCATTTCGAGCGGGGCACCAGATGAACTCGGGATGGTGTGGGTAGGGTTTAATATTGATCGCACTTCGCGCCCCAGGGCGTGTGCGGCACGAACGGGGGCCTGGATCGTTGTTGGACCTGCCAGGCTATAGGACAGGCCCCCCCCCCCCCCCCCCCCCGCTCCCCGGGAACTGGGGCGGGGCAGGCGGGGAAATGGTGCGACCAACGACTCGATGAGTCAGCTCCTCGAGGGGGGGGGGGAGGGTGATCAACAGGCCGGGGGCCCAGGGACGCCGCCCCCGGTCCTCGCTCCCTCCCCCCCCCCCCCCCGCAGGCGAGAACACCCGGAGCTGGTCGACACTCTCACGCGGGGGTGGGAGCCCCACCACGGGGCGCCCGTGCGCGACCGGCGTCCCACGCACTGCGGACCCCTTTGGTGGGGGGAGTTTTTCTCCCATGTGCCGACGAGCAAGCCATCATCCCCACAAGCCCGCCCACCCGTCCAGCCGGCCCGGACAAATGATGTGATAGTGATGCGGGAAGCCGGCATGAACTCCGTCTGTTGGTGGCGTTTTGGTCCGGAACAGGGCCCCCCTTCTCTCGTTGCTGTCTTGGATAGATCGCTCCCTTGCCTCTTGGTGTCCTGGGACCCACATGTGTCCCCTTCCCCTCACATGCCCGCCGTTCGCGCAGGGACAAACGGGCTGGCGAGGCAGAAAGACAGGACCAGACGACCACGATTGGCGGCTTCCCATGCA